TTCTATTAACATTTCTCTATCTGGAGAATGGGTCTGTTCTATGTGTTGGCTTCTTAATTCAAAGGGCCCCCTGCCTGTTTGTGCCTAGGGCCCCAAATTTCCTAAATCCGCCCCTGCCCATGGGCCTTTAGTTCAAAACAAGAATCTACAATCTGATGTTTTAAACAAACTTAGAGCATCTGCAGTTTGTGGTTGTAAGTTTGATTCCAGCAATCCCTCGTGACCACATGTGTGTCAAAGGGTCTCATACGTTTTGCTGTTGTCCTTGTTTTATTCCTAGAAGTGTTCCTGCGTTCCTGTAGATGATGGGAAATCAAGGTCTAAACTTGAGGTTGAGTCTGTGGTTCAGATCGTCCATCAGGAGGTTGCAGCAGAGCTGCTGCTCCTCCACAGTTGATCTGATCAGGATTCCTCCCTGTGGAGGTTTTCCAGAAACGTCCTGCTGGAGGATCACCCACTCGCTGATCCACAGGATCTTCTTGATACCTAAATCTGAACACCTGAGAAGCCTGAGCATCTCTCTGACCCACGGAAACATGTGTGTCATCGATCACATGTGAGGTCACAGAAAACACGCCCCATGCATAAAACTGAACCGAAACCATCATCTGAATTCAACCTGATCAGAAGTCGAGCTGCTGATGTTAAAAATAAAATACTGCAGGACACACACACACACACACTCACACACCGGGCTGCTATTATGGAAACACAGTTTCTATGGTAACGGCTGAGCTGAATTCCTGCAGAAGGTTCCCACAGTGACACATGCATCCTGGCCTGACTGATGAAGGCTTGAAGCTGCAGAGGAACAAACTGTTTAACACTCTGAGGACAACGTTGCTCCTCTGGTTCCTGATGTGTCTATTTCTGTTCTTTTCTTTTCTAAGTCGTCGCTCTCAGTTCGTCTCCTCACAGCTTTTCCTCCATCCACTCCTGTCTTCCTCCTCTTCCTCTGTACTGTCCAGGTACCACCAACACCTCCGCCTCCACTTTCTTTCACTCTGAGTTTTTGATTCTTTAACTCGACTCCGAGTTTATTAATAGAGCAGAGTTCTGAGCTGAGAAGATGGAAACAACGTTTACAGCAAAGGTTCTTTATTAAACTAAACCTTCAAAGAGCAGAACCATAAAACTGAAGATAGAGAATGATGAAGATGGATGGATGATGGATGGATGGATGGATGGATGGATGGATGGATGGACGGACGGACGGACGGATGGAGGATGGATGGATGGACAGATAGACGGACGGACGAATGGATGGATGGATGGATGGATAGATGGTGAGACGAATGGATGGATGGACAGATGGACCGATGGACAGACGGATACATAGATGAATGAATGGATGTATGGATGAAAGAACGGACAGACAGATGGATGGACGGATGGACAGGGTTATGGATGGCATGATGGATGGATGGATGGAGTGACGGACGGACGGACGGATGGATGGATGAATAAAGCTAAAAAAAATGAAAATTTTAATTACTGACAATCAAAAATGATTTATATTATAAAACGGCCTAGAATAAGTGACGCAGCAGGAAGTTGGTTCCTGAAGCACAGGATCTCCTGGATCACATCGCTGTAGGTGCATTGAGCTGCCAGCAGGTGTCACTGCAGAGCTCCTTCATTGACTTACAAAGTGATTCTGATTGGACTGAATTACATTTCTTGTTGGCATACCAGCATGCTTAAAGGAATAGTACACCCAAAACATGATTAGCCTTCATTTTCTACTCACCCCCATGCTGAACAACACTCTGGAGTACTTTTTTG